ACAGGTGCAATTTCATCCTCAGCATAAAGGTCCTTCTGCTGCAGTAGTTGTCCCAGTTGATTTCGTTTATTGGCAGAACCCCACCAGAGGATTCCTCTGTGAGAGATCTTACCGCCCTGAGACACTTTTCCCACACGCATTTTGTTTCCAAACTTTCTTGCAACTATTATTATTATTACTACTATTATTATCTAATATACTCTAGGACTTGGCATCTGTCTGTCTGTCTGTCTGTCTGTCTTTCTGTCTGTTCTGGGCAGCCGAAACGGCACAATCGTTTTTCATCAAACATGGTGCAAAAATCGCAAAAAAATCGTAGAGTGGAACAAACCTGGTCCCATGTCGATGGTTTCTTTAGGAAGGCATTAATTAACAATTTTATTTACGATGGAAAACGATGCAAGTCTAGGGACTTGACGCACCCTAATTAACCATGCAAGTCTACGGACTTGGCACACCTCATTCGCTGTATGCTGTTAGCCGGACGGCGAACCTGGCACGAGGGGCCCACTGTCATACAATACAATACAATGTAATACAATACAAAACAAAACAAAACAAAATAGTATAGTACAGTACAATACAGTACAATACCATACAATACCATACAATGCCATACCATACAATATACAACGATTTATAAATATTTGTAAGAATAAAACATAAATATATAGACATCTAAAACTCACAACTTGATAAGATATCCGTAAGATATTAGCTATTGGAAATGTTTTTAAATGTTTTGTTATTAATCTAGTGTGAAATGTATCAGTATTGGTGGTACAATCCTCTAATCCTTATGATTAGGTGAGGTTAATCTGGGTTTATTAAGATTAAAGATAAGGTGTGGGATTTATTCTACCTGTGATAGTCTCAGGTACGACCCTTATTTTAACAATCACGACCATGATTATATCAACAACGACCATGATTATAACAACCACGACCATGATTATGAAATGAGACATAAACATGATAGGAAGAGGATTACATATAGGTAGAATATTGATAGTAGTAGGAATGTAAAGAGAGGAAGTTTGGTAACGTGGCCGGTTAATTACTTTCTCTTATCTTATATTTGGGGTCACTTGTAAACACCACTTCGTTACAACTATTTATTAATTACGACAATGGCATGGACACATTAATAACACTTTCTATCGATGTTACTAGGACACTATATTTATGTTACTTGGACATTATATTTACATTACTAGACACTGATTCTCGGACACAAACATGAAATGAATACACTTCCCACGTAAGTAACTCATCCTATGGATAGCTCTGACAAAAACTCACGTGACCTGAGGGAGGCCCAGCAGGTGCTTCTGGGCTGTCTCCTATGAGAGACTCTGCTTAGCTGGTGACACCGGTATCGGGAGGGAAGTCTCCCTCCCGACCGGAGGGAGGACTTGCGTGACTCTGCCCTCTGTCGACGGACCCGGCTGACACCTCTAGCTGTGGTGGACTTCCTCCTGTGAGCGGGACTGGGGACGTCGTCGCTGGCCCTTCTCTGTTACTAAACTCCCTCTCTGTGTGTGCCCTGAGGGAGGGCTACGACGTCCTATATATTGGGAGAAGAGCCATCAGATGCCCACTAATGCTGACTGGGTGCCTCTTGACCTAGTTGTTGGGGCCGTGTGACAGGGTGCTGGCTGATTTGTAGTTCCTTGACTTGCAAGGTCATGACCCCGGTTTGAGCTGATCGGGCGGCGGCGAGATGTCCCCTTACATTTGACCTCGCTAATGTAAGGTCAGGATCTGGACTTTTTCTGAGTTGTAAGTTGTTGTATATATTGGAGGAAGAGCCGGCAGGTAGCCTCACCTGCTGACTGGGTGCCTCTTGACCTAATTGTTGGGGTCGTGTGGGAGTGGTGCTGGCTGATTAGTAATTCTTTGACTTGCAAGGTCATGACCCCGGGTTGACCTGATTGGGCGGCGGCGAGGGGTCCCCTTGCACTTGACCTCGCTAATGTAAGGTCAGGTCTGGACTTTTTCTGAGCTGTAAGCTGTGGTCTAATAAGCCATCATTACAATTATAACAACCAGGACCATGATTATAACAACCACGACCATGATTATAATAACCACGACCATGATTATAACAACCACGACCATGATTATAACAACCAGTACCATGATTATAACAATCACGACCATGATTATAACAACCAGGACAATGATTATAACAACCACGACCATGATTATAACAACCACGACCATGATTTTAATAACCACGACCATGATTATAACAACCAGGACAGTGATTATAACAACCACGACCATGATTATAACAACCACGACCATGATTATAATAACCACGACCATGATTATAACAACCACGACCATGATTATAACAACCACGACCATGATTATAACAACCACGACCATGATTATAACAACCACGAATATTATTATAACAACCACGACCATGATTATAACAACCACGAATATTATTATAACAACCACGACCATGATTATAACAACCACGAATATTATTATAACAACCACCATGATTATAACAACCACGACCATGATTATAACAACCACGAATATTATTATAACAACCACGACCATGATTATAACAACCACGATTATAACAACCACGACCATGATTATAACAACCACGACCATGATTATAACAACCACGACCATGATTATAACAACCACGAATATTATTATAACAACCACGACCATGATTATAACAACCACGAATATTATTATAACAACCACGACCATGATTATAACAACCTCGGTAAACTGTACCACCGGACTCGCCATCGGGCACAAAGAGCCCACGATCACTTGTTATTATTATTATTATTATTATTATTATTATTATTATTATTATTATTATTATTATTATTATTATTATTATTATTGTTGTTATTGTTGTTATTATTATTTTTTTATTATTATTAGCAGTAGTAGTCTTAATAATTCTGTAAAAAATGGCGTTATGAGGTCTTTAACAAAAATAAATAAAAAAATAAAACCTGTAATATGGTCCTTCTTGATGATAAGATCTCGTACAACAGTCCACCACAGGTACAGTCGGCCAAAGATGCCCACCCTGAGTCTCGTGCTCGCATTTTTATCTGGTAATACTTGAAGGAAGGAAGGCTGTACGTAATGGGATTGCGATTGGTGGATTTTTTCGGCTGTATCACTGTCAGGATAAATATTAAACAATCCAAAAGTAGCATTTTTATAAAAATAAAAAATTCATCGTTATTTAAGATCATAACAAGTTTCCAAATATTCGTATATTTGCTTAAATAACGAAGAAATTATAACAATGAATTGGCAACGCAGATTCTCGCATTAAATTTCAAGAATATATGTTCCACATTTAATCCTGAGTGTTTCATGAAGGAATTAATTGTCTTTACAATGTAAAGCATTATATAATATAATTTGACGTAAGGAAGAGAGCAGACACTTTGTAATAGACTCACTTGTCAGTCACGATATTGTATCTTCGTATTTTTCTAGTTATCAGTCAGTGTGTGTGTGTGTGTGTGTGTATAAATAAATTACATTCGTAATTATGGCAATTATATCACGAATTATATGGTAAATATGTGCTATTGGGAAAATGAAGCATCCAAGTGGCAGCTGATGTATGGAGTTTAATATCTGGTTCTCCTTTGTCGAACTAAAAATCGACAATTGTTCGGCAAAAGACTGTGTACTCATCGTTAGGTAACAACATTTTCATTAGTTATTTATGACGTCAGCAACAGGTTTTACGCCTACCAATCTCATATCACTTGGCATGATCTAATCAGCCAATAAAAGCTTGGCCGAAGTGTAGTTGTGAATACGGATCAACAGTAGGCATTACTTCTGTCACCACGACGCAACAGCGCTTAACTACTCACGGACAAATAAC